AACCCCCAACTGATGAATTAGGGTCTGTTAAAATAAACGGGGTGGGGTGGGGGTGGGGGAATGGGGGGAAGGTCAGTTCAGATCCGATTTACAACTTCTCAGTGACTTCTACGTTTATAACCTCCACGTCGGAGGACTTGAAGCCGTCGTTGTTGTAGGAGAGAGCCACGCCATTGGTCACGCCTTCTTTGTCGTCGTCATCGTCGCTGGCATCTCCATCGCTCTTCCGGCTACTGTAGCGGCAGTGGTAGAAGAGACAGCCTCCGCCGACAAGCACCAACATACCAGCAGCCGCCGCGCCTCCAATGATGGCGTTTTCCTTGTACGTCTCCAAAAGCTCGCTGAAATCTGCTCCGTCGACGTTCAAACCCCAACGGACGACGGAGATGGGCGCGTCGCCACTGCCTGGAGTGACGCTACGGACAATGACGCATGTGTAGTAGCCAAATACGTCATCATCCACTCTCAGAACGGTCAGGTTGAAAGCGTCGAAGGCCGGGCGGTCTCTTGTGGGAAGACTGACGTCATCGTCTGGTCCTGATAGCACGTACTTCCGGTCGTTGAGCAGGCTGTTGGCGTCAATTGTTGTCCCGTCTGGCAGCACCCAGCTGATGGAATTTACAGTAGACGGGTTGTCTGTGATATTCAGCCCCGGGTGGTCGCAAAGCAAGGACACGTCTGAAAAGTATCTGATTTTTAGGTCGTGTGTGAAGCTATCTTGGCACTGTACGCCTTCTGGGCAGTCAGCGATTATGTGGAGGAAGACGAACAGAGCTGCTGGAATAAGGGATGGGTTGAGTTTTGCCATATTGGAAGTGAGGACTGGAGTCGGTGATTTTCACAGCGAACACTTAGAAGCCAGGTGATGTAGAACGGGTGGTTCTGGGGAAAAAAGAAAGAAAGAACGAAACGGGTTTAAGAGAAGAAATTAATTAATTTTATTTTACATGAACATTAAGAATAAACTGTTTTGTATTCCTAGCTTTCAGTTAAACAGGTTTATAGGTTTCGGACAAAAAAAAAGGTATTTTACATAAACATTGAGAATACACTGCTTGTATTCCTAGCATTCAATTAAATATACATGTTTATAGAGTTTATGAGAAAGAACTGTATATTACATAAACATTGAGAATAAACTGTTTTGTATTCCTAATATTGTTAGTGGTTAAAGGCTGTCACTTATAGATACTACTTTTTTTCCATCTGTTATTTATGTCCAGTTTACGAGATGTATAAGATAAGATAAAATACCTCTTTATTGTCCAGATCCTGGCACGCTGGTTTGGCACACACACACACACACACACACACACACACACACACACACACACACACACGCACAAATATACACACGCATGCGCACGCCCGTGTGCACACACATATACATGTACTCACTCACTCTTCCCTCTCGCATCCTCTCTTCCACACACATTTGTGCACATAACCATAATAATACAATAGTGTGCTTGCACTCACAAACAGACTCACTGTCTCATGATTTTAAAAAATGAACAGTAATTATAAACGCATAACGAATTGAACTTGACAGCAAAAAATTGCATTTTTGTTACTCATAATGCATGTGAGGTTTTAGGGGTTTAAGTATGGCTGAACCAAATAGAAAAAGGAAAGTGGGATGGACCGTATTAAAGTGATTACCATATTGAGAAAATCTAACACAAATTCGGATCCAACGAACGAACTGCAATATAAAAGTCACTTGTGTATTTTTGTTGACCAGTGTTATCAGCAACACAAGCTAGAGTCCTGATTTATTTTCGGAAATGTCTTCAAAGAAAAAAAAAAGAGAGGATGTTGAAGACGTGTATGCGTGCGTGTGTGTGTGTGTTTGTGTGTGTGTGTGCGTGTGTGTGT